AAAACTGCGTGCCATTATTGCTGATATAATGAGATAAAATTAGTTTACTTTTCTATCGAAATTTTTTATGCAGGTTCTGTATCACATCAGACTGAAAAATGTATGTAACTGAATCGTACTTTTTGCATCGTTATTAGAGAAGGATTACAGCGCTATCGTTTTCTCTATTGTTAGATGCATTACTCTCAATTTGTAAGTTTTACAAAATCCATACACATAAAGAAAAATATCTTAAATAAAAAATATCTGCTTTTAGTTTGTACACTCCGATAGTACAAACTAAAAGCAGATAAGAGAGATTTTACGGTAAATAAAGCTTATTGGTGACATAGACATAAAAATCAGAATTTAGCAATTGTTCCTATAACGTGAGGAATATCGGAGGCAGAACATAATTTAATGTTACCTCGGATCATTACCACGTTCCGTTAGCCAGGCTAGATAAGCACTGCCCAGCACGGCAACTTCCCCCCCCCTCGAAGAATTTCCAAATGGCTGTAGTCGCGAGATCATCGTTCAATGTAGTAACTGCCTCGTTATAACCCAAAGTTTGGGTCGGGTACAAAATGGTGGACCCTGATGACTGGAACGTGCGGGTCTCATTTCACCGTGTCCGGCTTCTCCGCAGTAAAAATAAATGGGGGATGGAAAATTAGGGGGAGAACACTCTTTCCTTCACAGTGCTCCATCACGTGGTGGCCTGTCAGACGTAAGGATGAGGACTGCGTAACCTGTGTTTAGGCTCCTCCTATGGAGAACTTTACTTAAGAATAGTCATTTCGTCAGGACTAATGGGAAATTTATACACGCGCTCAGCTCATGGGCAACGGGTGGTTACTTTTTGAAAGAACTGCGCAAACACTTATTAGCACTTTCTTGGTGCTGAAAGGACGAAAAGTTGCTTTCCGAGCCACGGGTCGTTGCATCGTGTTAATAGCTGTTGCTCGACTCCAGACATTTATTGTTTCAGGATCAGACTTATAATTTCATCTGCCACTAGCTTGAAAAATATGGATGCCATATCTATATATCATTGTTAAAGTAGAAAAAGCGAAGTTGCACATCACATCAGACTGAACATATAGCGAGTTTGAAGTCATTATTCCATATGTCGATTTCACAACATCGGCTTTGAGGTTTTGGTTGCAAATATCGGGAGTTGAACGTGTAATGATGGGAAAATGGTTTTTACTGAAATATGTCGAAGCTTTCTAGCAAAGAAAAAGGGTAAAGTTTACTTACATTATTCGAATCAATCAATACAGAAAATTACTTTACGTTTCTGTGACTAGAGTCAGAAATTAGAAATTATTAGAAATATAAACTTCTAGCTTAATTTCTGACAAGACCTAAAAAGAACGTTAGTTATCTTTAACGGATAAATTGAATTAGTTGTATTCACACCACATATTAACCCAGAAGAACACATTTTTAACTTAGATAAACTCGCACGTCAGTTGTTCAAAAATCTGGTTAGATTGTGAAGTTTATCTATTTATTTTTAACTAATAGTTAATTTTAAGTTGAAAGACTTTCGTATCACTCTCTTTTCACCCACGCTTTTCATGACGGAGTATAAATTAGGCAGCGAACGTTTATTCGGATTAAGGTAGAAAGAAGTGCTATTTAAGCAAGAGATTAAGAAGTTAGTTTTAGAACGTGTCTGCCTATTCCAGGTCACGTTGTGATGTGATTATTAGCGACTTCATTTAGTAGCGTCCAGTATTCCTAGCCATTTAGCTTTATCTCGCCGGTTTTCTACAAACCAGAGCCTTGCCTGTGCTTTAGATTATCCTGGCTAGGCTAATCTACCACATTTTGAATTTGTTCAACATTACGTTTTCCTGTTAAGCCAGAAGTGCTTGGCTTAAGTAAACCCAAATTGGGTAAATGTTGAATTCGAATAAAAGGGTCTTATACACCCTTCTTCTGGCTTTTGTTTTGTTTCAGGAAGCTGGAAGATAATTCTTATAAAGTCTATAGTATATATACCTTAAAAGTCTATGTAATATATATTCCTTATTCCTTAAAAGTCTTAGAATGTCTATAATACATGTTCCATAAGAGGCATAGATTTTATAACATTAGGCCATAATAGGAATATATTTCAATTCAGCCATAACTGAAAAGGTTACACTAATGAAATAATTAAAACTCTATATCTCTGCTGCTGGTGAAAACAGTTGATCACCATGTGGAAACATTAGGTATTTTTTTTTTTGAAGCAGAAGAAGTGGAAAAATGAACAACGCTTTCCCCGTGAATCGAACCGCGGACCTCTGTAATACGCATCCAGCCTGCAGACCACCACACTACGAAGGCATGCTAAGAAGGTGGGAGAAATACCTTATATACTTCCACTATTAAAAGGGCGACTGGGGTTATATACTTCCACTATTAAAGGGCGACTGGGTCGACTGGAGACCCAATCGCCAAATCCTGGGGTGGAGAATCATCATCCACTGCCCTTTTAGTTCGGGCGCCACTGTAGAGACATTAGGTATTTTTTGGAAGCAAGAGAAGTGAAAAATGAGCAACGCCTTCGCCGGGAATTGAACCGCGGACCTCTGAAATACGAGCCCAGCGTGCAGACCACTACACCTCGAAGGCACTATAAGAAGGCGGGAGAAATATATAACCGGAGGTCTATGAGTAATGACGAATGATCCATTTGTGTCCGGTGGGAAACATTGCAATAAGCCCAGATAAAATAAACTGTAGTTCACCGACATCATCAAGCCCATGATCACCTGGTTTAGATTATTGGTCTCTGTTGACCTGTAGGTGAACCTATGTGAGATAGTATATAAGGTATTTCTTCCACTTCCCTAGCGTGCCTTCGTGGTGTAACGGTAGCACGCGGGGCCGGTATTCCAGAGGTCCGTGGTTCGATTCCCGGCGAAGGAGTTTGCTATTTTTTCATCTTTTTTGCCTCTAAAGAAAAATACCTAGTGACTCTATAAGTGGCGCCCGAACTAAAAGGGTTGTGGATGATGATTCTCCGCACCCAGGATTTGGCGACTAGGTCCCCTAAAACCCTAGTCGCTCTTTAAAAAGGGGGAGTATATAAGATATTTCTCCCACTTCCCTAGCGTGCCTTCGTGGTGTAATGGTAGCACGCTGGGCCGGTATTCCAGAGGTCCGTGGTTCGATTCCCGGCGAAGGCGGTTGCATATTTTTCATCTTTTCTGCTTCCAATTAACCTAATGACGCTAGAAGTATAGTATCAATATAATTGTCAAACTAAACGAATAATAAGTACATGGTGGCGTAACATAATGTAAAGTATAAAAAATTTTTGGAAAGACTCCATTTCGGTGATTTCTAACATCAAAATAGATTAAATGTTAAAAGCATCATTTGTGACTTAAAATAACCCGTCGAATAATTTCTGACTTAAAATAAGACTCCGAATAACGATTATTAAAGGTGTTAAGGCAACAACAGGAAGCAGAGTAATATTCGTAAATTTCCAGGCCTTAGTTTCGAAGGTTTAATCGTAGAATCTTCTACTTCAGCTTCAGAAGTGCAAAAGACGAAGAAGTACCCTGCGTACTGGCGATAAGAGGAAGGAAAATAAGCTACTTCCGCCATCTATTCATGAAAACTGGAAAAAAAAAAAAAAAAAAAAAAACTGTTCCTTAAAAGCTGAGATTAAAGACGAATTGGAATTCGGATTCTTAACTAGAACTAAAAGATTTTTATGAATGTGAAATAGAGAATGTAATTAACCAACCCAAGACGTTTTTTGGAAGTTTTTTCTGGAGAAAAATGGAAAATGTGATTTTTCTGACCAACAGTGTTGATCAGTATGAGAATTTGTGCGTTCTTTTTTTCCTAACAATGCCTAATGTTCCTTATCCTAAAATTTTAAGACATATAATACAAATAAATATATTTTATTAATAGTGCCTGGTTTGCATATTAAAACCACTACGCGTGTGAAAAAAAAAATGAGAATTCCCAGGAATCTCTTTGATTTGAATGATACATTTGATTAGGCTGCAATAAAATTTTTTGCTTTTATCTAATGCTTCCCTTTCATAGTGCATTCCGGTATAACACAGTTTCGGTTACCGCGTAGGTGTCCTTTAAAAACCACTACTGCGTAGGTGTCGTTAATATACATTGGTCAAATTAAGAAAATTAATTTACTTTCTTAATTTGATAAATCTATATTAAAGTATACCGATAAGGAATCTTGTACATACCATTTATAGTATCTTTAAGTATGGAATTACGAATTTTATTGATAGAAGAGAAAATAACCCGAAAATACGTATAGTTTTATAGCTAATCGATGGAAAGAAAGGGATGAGAACGGAATTCTTGTTTCCTAAAACGAGAGAGGGATTTTTCGATGTGTTGAGATAAGATATTTTTACCCTCTTGGTCAATAAATAATGTTAAGAGAAAAGCCTCTGTCAACAGTAACCATATTTAAGTAGTTTATAAGGAAGTTATTTCAAGGAAGTTCCCGAGCTTTTAAGTAAATTATTTCACAGTTGTTTTAATTTTTCTTCAACAGATGGAGCTAGTAACTTGATTTCCGTCTAGGCATTGTTATCGCCTGAGCACTGACTTCTCTTTCCGTTATTTGCACTTAAGCGGCTGAAGAAGTCTCTATATTTAAATTTTCGAAAAAAGGTTTCGGCAAAGGTTAGGCAACGGCAATAAGATAATATTCATAAAACTGCGACTTTATGAATATTATCTGATTGCCGTTGCCTTAACCTTTGCCTCCAATAAGCATACTGTTACGAAATGTACAGGCGCGATAAGCTAGCTTCCCCGCAAAGCAGTTTTAGGGTTGCCATAAAATGGCAAAGGGAGGGCAGGGTTGCTACATTTCGCGAGAAATCGCCCATTTGGCGACAAAATCGGCGATATGCATGTTTGGGACCTTTTGAAATTCTTACCCACCGGTTACACAAGCCGAAAGCTAAACTGCTGGTAAGTTTGCAAAGAATCTATAGTGAGAAGAAGTCAAGCTTCGACTGCACAGCAACGCCACGGAGAAAAACTGAGTCTAAAATGTGTCTTTTTTGACAACTTTACAGGCGTAAATTCAGGTTCTCTGAAATTCATTCACGCATGCGCGCTAGAGCCAGAGAGTTTGTCAACAACATCGTAGAAGTCGTCATAGCGCGCCATATTGAACGCTAAGCACGAGGATTTCAGCAATTTTGAACATTTGGAAATGGAAAAAAATAATGAATCACGCTCTAGTGATCCTGCGTGTGAAAGGTACGTAAAAATATTTAATTCTTATACCTTTTCATAGTAGAATTATTTTTTAATTACCAGAGTTATGTTCAAATCCATTCCATAACATGGGATGGTAATCAAATATCATGTAATGAACGATTATTAATTAAGTTGGCATTAAAAAAGTTAAAAGTTTCATTGGAACATTTTATTGAAAAATTATAATTCCTACTGTTAAAGAAATCAGAAGTATTTCGAAAAATCTCTATCAAAGCTTCTTACGCAAAATTAGTATATTTGTATATAATTGCGAGGATAAAATCAAGCAATCATGGATGATTTACTATGATTGCTAATGAAAATTATTTCAGTTCTTCATATCCGATCTTTCCTGCAGTTATATGTAATGTATATTGCAACTTCTTCTATTTTCGTTTAACCAGGTATCAATTTTTTAGTTCATGATATTTTCTAATTCTATACATTGAGCATTATTTATAATCAAAGAATCTTTATATAATAAACTATTCACAGATATCATTTTTTTGCTACTAAGAACTGCAATATTATCCCAATTTTTAATTATTTTTTAAATTAATTTTTTAATAATTTTTCCAGTTTTAAAAATAAAATTATTAAAGTAAATTAGCTGCATAATTCTGGTGTCATGATATTCATTGGCTCTTTTTTATTTTATTTCAACCTTGCAACTTAAATGTATTCTGTAAATTAATTATTAAATATCCATATTTTATTTTTATATTCAATTTTTATATATTCTGTACTGATGTGATTTAAATCTTTATAATAATAATTCATTTAGGTTAAATGATCCTTCACCAAAGGCTTATGTGCGTTGTGTGGTGTGTAATGCCAATTCTTGGTATTTTCCTGAAAGAAAATTCTTTCGGTTTCCTAAAAATCCAGAGAGGTAAAAAATTTAATTTTTATTTTAAGTTATAAGTATTTAAAATGCATGAAAATAAGTACAGTATGACAGATGAAGAAATTTTTTTAACTTTCTGTTATTTAAAAAAATTATTCCTTTTCAAATGAAAACGTTATATTCATTAACATACTTTGTGTGATATTCAATGTTGCCTTATCTGTTTAGCCTAATTATATATACAATAGTAATAAAATATTTATGTAAATATTACAAAATCGTAGAAGCATTAGTTGAATATATGCATCAGCTAAAATGAATTTTTTCATAAGCAGAATGCTTAAAAATTTAACATTAGTTTGAGTAAAATGCATAAATATTAATTTTTTTGTACATAAATTAGTACTTAAATGTTATCTACATGTCAAATTTCTGGAAAAACTAAAATATGTATTTGTTTTGCACAGTAATAAGTTACATTTTAAATGAATGCTTAAAACTAGTGTTCCCTGTGTAAAGTAGGTGTAAATTTCATGTTGTTTTAACTTTTATAGATCAGCACAATGGCTTGAAGCATGTAGAATTTACTTGATTGGACGTGACAAGGAAATATTAAAGAAGCCACCTTCTCTTTTATATCGAAGTCGTCTTTGTTCCGCACATTTTGAAGACAATGCATATTCCACAACTAAGAAGCATTTTTTGCATTCGAGTGCTAAACCAACAAAATTTGGGTGAAACAGGTATGCATTAATTTCAAGTTTATATATTTCAAAAATTTTTAAAAATTTAACCTCTTATATATTGTACTGATCAACAACTTACTATGTTATCTTAGAAAGAGAAAGAGAGTAGTCTGCTGTCTTTAAAAAGAGTGATAAATCTTTTTCTGAAGGATAATTTAGTTTAATCTCCCACAGAAATTTCATTTGTTTACATAAATAATATAACTTATTTATTATGAAAGGACTCTTCTGCTGTTTCTTACATAGTCAATTTTGGTATGAGAGAATGTAAAGTAACCCTTTTTTAAAATCCATTAAATTTTCCTTAGTAAATCCTTTATGGATATAGCAGAATGTTCTTAGAATATGATGTAGCAGAATATATTTACGCAAAGTATAATTTTAGGCTTTGAATCAGATTTACAAACTCAGGATAAATGAAATTAACGATAATTAAAAATAAAATTAAAACTTCGGCTAATCTTTGGAATATGGTAACTGGTAGTTTGGCGACATTTTGGTAAGGCGATAAAGTTTACTAGCTAGGACTTTAGCAGTGTAAATGGATAAAGTCAAGAGTGTACGCAATGCCATTTTTTTGTGCAATTCTGTGATGTTTTTTTAAGTCAAAATAGATCGACGTATACATGGATGATACCGTGTATGTGCAATTCTTAACGCTGCAAGCAGTGGGCGATTCTGCACTTTCTCCCAATTTCGCACCTAATCTTCGTGATGATTAAGCACTTTTGTTCCATAAAAGTTCTAGCATAAGCGTAATTCGGCTAGCAAATTGTTGGAAAAAAATGTTGAGTAGTAAAAAAAAAAAAAAAAAAACATGCCTTTACTTTGTCAAAACAAAATGGCGTCCAAAAAAAAAAAAAAAAACAACTAGCAGGGTTGGTCGCCAAAAAATCGCCAAGTTACCATAATCCGAAGATTAACCAAAACTTCTTTTCTTAAAACTAAATGTCAAACCGTGTTAAAGGTTAGTTAAATATTTATTTGTTTAGAGATGAAATATTCATAAAATAATTAATTGATAATGATTATATTATGAATTATTATGCATTAGTCTTGTTATATATATATAAATTTTCTTTTTCCTTCCTAGCTGATGAGCTGTCCAGAAACGACAGAGTTGTAAATGTTCATCAGCTGTCTATGAAGTTGTGCTCGAAATTGCAGCAGCATGCAATCAGTATCGATGATAATTCAAGTCCTTTGGCAGAAACAGATTCTGGCACTTCACAAACAGATTCTGGCTCTCTAGAACTTGGTTCACACCAGCACTCCATAGAACTAAATAATATCACCGAGACACCAAAAAGATTAAAATGCAACAAAAATTTAACACCAAAATCTTTAAAAATAAGGCAGTTAAGTCATAAGCTGGCATATTTAAAACGAAAACATTCAGCAAAAAGGAAAGCAAACAAAGCTGGAGTCGAAAAGGCACTCCAGCTGATTAGCTCATTAGTTAGTTCTGTAGTTTTCACTTTTATAAAATCACAAATAAAAGCATCAAATGTGTCAAAATACGGACGAAGATGGTCACTGATGGATAAAAATTTGTGCCTTCAGATCTATCTTAGTAGTCCAAAATCATATAATACACTGAAGGCTTTTTTGCATTTGCCCAGCAAGCCTACATTATTGAAAGCTGTATCTGGTATAAAAATGGAACCTGGATTTTCAGTTGCTGTGCTCAATGCCATAAAATTAGTTGCTAGCAAACTGAAAATCCATGACAGGTATTGCATCTTATCCTTCGATGAAATCACTTTAAAGCAAAGCTTATCTTATGATAAGAAAAGTGATTACATTGTTGGATTTGAAAATTATGGTTCCTACACTGAACTAAAAATGTTTCCCGAATATGCAACTCATGGTCTTGTTTTTATGGTCCGTGGGCTGTGTAAAAAGTGGAAACAGGTCATTGGCTATTTTTTTTCTTCTCACACTACTCCAGGTTTTATGTTGTGTACTTTGGTCATGGAAGCCCTATCAAAATTATTTGATTGTGGTTTGATACCTGTGGCTGTTGTTTGTGATGGTGGTGCAAACAATGTAGTTTGTTACAAAAAATTTATGAAAGTCACAGAAGAAAGACCATATATTATATGTCAAGACAAAAAGGTATTCACACTTTTTGATGTGCCTCACCTTTTGAAGTGCTTGCGAAATAATTTTAGAAAGTATGATGTTAAATTTCAGGGTGGCAAAATTGCTAGTTGGAACCACATTGTATCTTTGTGGGAATTTGATCGTAAAATGCCTCACAGATGTGTTCCGAAATTAACAGACCGCCATGTAAATGTGGATTGCCTTAGTGCTATGAGTGTAAAATTAGCAGCTCAGGTCTTCAGTCATTCTGTGGCTTCAGGCCTGTGTTACCTTAGTGCACTAAATGGCTTACCCGCATCGGCTAGTCTTACAGCAGATTTCTGTTCAAACATAAATATTTTATTTGACAGTTTGAACAGTAGAACACTTAAGCACTCTAATCCTTTTCTTGCAGGAGTTCCATATTTAAATTGAAAATTTGTTTCTATTATTGTTGTAGTGCAAAAAGCTAAGATATGTAGTATACTTAGACAATTTCTCCTTTTTGTCTTGCTTTTTTCTGTATAAATCTAAAATTTATATTCTCTAAACAAAAATTATGAATTTTTCCAATTTTTGTTAAATAGTAGAAAAAGAATTTCTAATAAAACACATAAATTACAATAAAATTTTTAAAATGTATTATTCTTAAAAAACACGAAAATAATGTTATCTAATTATTGTTATACTGTGTTAATTGATATATCTTAAAAGTTAGCTCAGAGAAAACTTATTTGAAACAAAAGAGGGAAAAAGATTTTATCAGCGATTGTATGAAAAATCATACATTTGCTTGTTATATATTATGTCATAGTGATTTGATAATTGTGTATCTTAGTATGAAAATTTTGTGTAAATAAATTTTTAATATCTTAATTTATATGTGTTGTCTTTATTTCTTTCAAGCTGAATAAGCAAAAATCTTTAATAAAATTGTATTGAAGAGTGCATCATTTATTTATTTTAAAATTGCTAACGGTTGTTGTTGATATGTTTTCAGACTATTAAATATATAGCCTTTGTGTGCTTTGCCATATCTCAGTAATTCTGTCATGTGCAATAACAAACGTTACATTTATTAAATTGCGTACATACGTACTACATGGCATTTAAAATTAAATCATATTTTAAAGCCGTAATTAAACGAAGTATTAAACTAATAGTAACCATTTATGAAATATTTAAGTATTAATATGAATAATTATGAAACGAAAAAAGTGGATGTAAAATAAAAAAATCATATACTGCAAAGCAAAATTTTCAAAAAAAAAAAAAAAAAAAAATAGTAAAAGCTAATTATCAAATAAAAGATTTACGCTTTCTGCTTCACGAGCGTTTAAAGTAAGATCGATTTTCCGCCTCGACTACACCCTGCGTGTTTGCTTCACCGCATACTGACTTGGATTCGAAATTTTGCCTGAGGGCGAGCCAACTGGTTTACATTGTGTCTACGAGAGCTTGCCTTCTTTTCCCCTAGAGATTCTTTGGTTAGTGTGCGTCTCTCATCGAGAGTGTGTGTGCCTCGCATAGAGTGCGCGTTATTTAGTATCGACTTGGTGTCTCGTCTAGAGAGTCAATTCCTGCGAAGTCGATCGAGTTGACAGCCGGGCAGCAAGTGCCGAATGGGTCATCGAGTGCATCGAAAGAGTCTCGTAGTGTATCCCGGTTAATGCATCGTCGAGAGAGCGCGTTGAGCTCCGGGACGACTGAACCGAAAAGTCAGGAGCTGTGCTCGTGTGTCGTCGAGCGCATCGCGAGTTGTAGCGTGGAGAGTCTCGAGAGTACTTGGAGTTCCGAGAACGACCAAGCAGAGTCGGGAGCTGTACTCCGAAAAGCAGAGTCGGGTGCTTTGCAGGAAGCTGTGTCCACCGTGACAGCCTGATAAACTGTAGGCTGTGTCGCTGATCGTGTCAGCGTGTTTATAGTAGTTCATCGACGACTGTAAAACGTGTTTTGGAGCTGTCCTGACAATACTGGCAAATAAAGTGTGTTTCGATACTTCATCAAGTGTCGTCGTTATTCACTCCAAATCTACGAACCCCGTACGAACGTGAATAAAGAAAATAACCTAACAATACTTTATTCTTGCAGCACAAATATCGTCTACACTTTTCTAATTTTGAATTAAGGAAGCTTTAAAAAGAGCTATTAAAGATAGCTTTAAAAAATACGTTATCAAATAACAGATATATTCTCATCCGCCAGAATATCAGTTTTTTGAAGAAAATATTGAAAGCAAAGTTATAATGTTTTCTAACACTGGCTAGTTTCTCTCAGTCAACTAGAAGTGACCCAACGTTAACCGATGTAATGTTAAACTGCTGTATACTTCGGTGTTTCACCAAACCGGCTGGCCAGTTTGCGAAGTGACTAACTGAAGGCTTTGTTTGTAATATATATTTATTTATTGAATACACATGTAACGTAAGTGCATATTTTTCGAAAAAGAGTTAAAGAAATATTTATCTAGAATCTGATTTCCATAATTTTCTGTAAAACTGTCATAAATAGTTAGTCAACTTATAATGTATTTCTCCCACTTCCGTAGCGTGCCTTCGTGGTGTAACGGTAGCACGCTGGGTCGGTATTCCAGAGGTCTGTGGTTCGATTCCCGGCAAAGGCGTTGCTAATTTTTCCTCTCTCTGGCTCCAAAAAATACCTAATGTCTCTACAGTGGCGACTGAACTAAAAGGGTTGTGGAGGATGATTTTCCGCACCCAGGATTTGGCGACTAGGTCCCCTAAAACCCTAGTCGCCCTTTAAAAAGGGGAGTATATAAGGTATTTCTCCCACTTCCGTAGCGGGGCCCACCAGCGGCCGAGCGGTAAAATCGCTGAACACTGGTAGTTCGGTCTGAGGTTCGAATCCCGCGAACGGTCTGGTGCATGGGCGTTTTCGTCGTTTTCCCCATGTGTAACGTGTATACGAGCCAGCTTCCCTTAGAAAGAGCTCCACGAAGGCATCCCTCCCCTTAGGCAGATAGCCCTAGTGTGCTTTGCCGTATTCTCAATACACCACACACCCATTTCCGTAGCGTGCCTTCGTGGTGTAACGGTAGCACGCTGTGCCGATATTCTAGAGGTCCGTGGTTCTATTCCCGGCGAAGGCGTTGCTAATTTTTCCTCTCTCTGGCTGCAAAAAAATACCTAATGTTACTAATAATTAAAAATACCTACAAACTGCTGCATTTTTATAGAATACGTTTGTCGAATTACAGCGAACCTTATTATCCACGCTAAACGAGAATAAAGGGAATTAGAATTTGAAACTAAAAAGGCCTTTGTTATAAAAAACGGCATTTCGGAAGCTCCTTATTTAAGTGCAGTTTTTAAACAACACCTACACAGTAACCGAAACTGTGTTATACCGGAATGCACTATGAAAGGGAAGCGTTACATAAAAGCAAAAAAATTGATTGCAGTCTAATCAAATGTATGATTCAAATCAAAGAGACTCCGGGGAATTCTCATTATTATTTCACATGCATAGTGGTTTTAATATACAAACGAGACACTATTAATAAAATATGTTTATTTGTATTAAAACCACCGTTACATTCTAATCAAATGAGCTGTCAAAGAAGATAAAATACATAACGTACACATCTCTGCGTTTTCTTAAGTATTGTCGAATTTTTAATACTCTTGCGAGCCCATAAAATCTATGATAAGTTGATAAAATTTATTTTACTAAAAAAAGAAACACTTTACAGTTTTGACACATTCTACAGAAATACTCGTGCAGCTCTTTGCAGTATAACAGATCAAAATTAGTAGTTACACTTCAAACTAATAAGAACGTTAAACACAACGCAATGCAAAGTGCATCTCAATGGTGAAGCTCTCACTGATATCTCAATACTCCGAATTCGGCTGTGCACTAACAACTGAGAAAGTGATCCTCTATCCGGTCTTATATAGTATTTTCCCCGGCCGCAGGGAAATCTTTAGTACCTTTCATTTCTTGAAAGACAAAGACAAGATAAAGTAGACAGATGTCTTGTTTTGCACCCGCTAAGTCTTTCTGCCCGAACAGGGAAAAAGCTAAATTACTGGAAGGCATATGAGGTCCGGATATGCTAACAGTTACAAATAGAGATCTATTACACTTATTCAATCACAATACCAATTACAGTTACACTGGGAACGAACCAAGTGTTGCCAAATGTCCTCCAAAATTTTCGCCGAGTTTTGTGAGAAAAATTAGTAGTCGAAACCGTCGCTAATGTCTAAGATGTCTTGTGAATTAAGCGAGATATCCATTTCCTCTTTTAAATAGACTTATCACCTGTAATTTTTTTTTCCGGCATAGCATTTCGTGTCACATTATACGAGCAATATTGCAAATTCGCATGTAATTTCACTAAAGTTATTCACATACACCAAAAATCCGTAACAATATTCTAATATCATCGTTAGCATAAACTGCATTTAATCCTTGCTTTCATTATTCTAAATTTAAATTCCATAACCTGCATTTTACTTTAGAATTAAATTAAAGAATATATATATTTATATTATGCCCGAAGGGACTTTTTTAATGTTTTGTGTGTTACTTTTATTTATTAACTATCACGTTCTCCGCACTTAAACCATAAAATTCAGTTCAACAACAATATCGCAAGATAATTTTAAAATAAGCCTATCTTTAGAATTTCCGATACACAGTCTCGCGCGCTGGAGATATTTTTTCCCCCCCACATATAGCGTTGCCAGTGCTCGCTGTGAAATCGCTGAGTTTGTTAATCACAAATTCGTTAAAGTGTTACAAAATATAAAATTGATTATAAACCAAATTCCAAATTCGGGCTTCCAGTTGTCCATATGCGGGTGGAGACGTACGTTATTTAAAATTAGATGCTCTAGGGTTAGATTAGATGCGAGAAACATACATATATTTATGCAAATTCTTCGTTGTTTAATTTCTTGCAATATAATACAAGGTTGTAATATTTGGTGGTAATAGTTGGAAAAGTGAACCGACATTCAAAGTTTTTAAAGCAAACTGCCAAAACAAATTTAATAGCCCTTCTGGGCTAAAGCCCTTTAGGCTAAAAATAGCCTATGGTACAAGCTTAATTTGAAATAGCTCTACATACTAATTTCATGAAAATTTGAGGGTAATGATAAAATGTATTGAATTAATCTATCCTAAACTGTAAATTCTGCAATAAAGAAACATATTAAATCTTATAAAAAAAGTCTGTTATAAAATTACTGCTAAAAGTTTCATTTGAATGCTGGGGATGAATGTTAATAGTTAACCCTTTGTTGCATCATGTCCACTCTAGTAGACAAATGTTTGAATTTGTTTATTCTTCTGTAAATGCCTTAACAGATTTCATTCCTGTGTTTATTCATTCTATATTATTACAACTTTCAACCACAGATGGCTGTATAGCATCACTAAGTAAAGCACTACTATTTGAAAAATGG